AAATATAAAGTAACAGAGATATAAAATATTGACACTTTTAGAATTTTAGTTTTCTTCAAATCCATTTTCTTCTCGATGTTATTATTTAAAATAAATTAGTTAATATAAATTTTTATAAAATTTAACGAAAAATTATTATTATAATATATTTAGATGATTACATTATTTTATTCTTTTTTTTTTAAGTATTTATTTAATATTAGGTATTTCTTTAATACAACTTGAAATTTATGTTCAACTTTTCTGTATTTCTTTCGGATTAAATATTATATGAAACAATGAGAAAAAGAAATAGAATTTTTTTATACCGCAAGCATAAGTAAGAGAAATATACTGTATTTTTTTAAGTTGTAGAATAAATACAGCAACAAATAATAATCAGTATTTTTTATTAAATAAATTTAATATACTTCTATTTTATTTTAATCTTATATAACTTATTTATTTATATTTGTTGATTAATTCTACTTATCGATTTAAATCTCATCTTGCCGCGCGCGATGAGATTATTATTGCACTTCAAAAAAATATCAAAAGAATGGTAAAGATGATTTTTATTATTTTCTTTTGATTTACAGTTGGATTAAAATAACTTCACTATTTCAATAACTGAACAAAGAAGTAAAAATAATTATGTTACATACATTTATATTAAATTTATTTTAAGAAATATGAAACAAGTAGGAAAAGAAAAGTTTTTTGTGACACGTATCTGACGTATCTAATGTATGTACGTCATGATATATGAATAGTGAAACGTCTTGCTTCTTAAGTCTGCCTCAAAAGCCACAAGTTTGGACGTGTATTCCTTACACACGCTCGCGCGCGCCTGAAAAATTAAATTTACATTCTTTTTCCGTTTTACAACAGATACCGTGACGGTTTGCCATAGTTACCCTTCGCAGCTGCGGTCCGATTACGGTGCAAATCCATGTTATGTTCGAAAATCGGCAGAACGTTAATCGATATTAATTACATCACACGATGACTCGAATTCTATCATTCGAATCCGTTTTCAGCCCTGTTGACCCGATACGGAACGAGTGGCATGACTATTTGGCTTCCCGCATGAAATCGTACCTGATGTAGTGTATATTGATAATCGATTTTTGATAGAGTTAGACAGATATATTTGCATGGGAATTGACATTGCGCGAGACAATTCGACTTTTGATGTTATGTAACGAAACGTGACGCGTTCGGGACTTGAATTGAATCGACGTCGCTTCCGTGTGCGATGTTATGTAGACACAGCAAAGTAGGTCCGTAATGCAAATTACTTATCTACATAGAGAACGTGTATAAATAAGTATAAGTATACAAATAAAATGTAAACGAATACAGATATACCTAAAAATCCTATACTCGTTGCAGCATTGTTTAAAATTTAGAATTCGAAGACTAAAATCACATAATTTTTTAAATTACTCGTGAGACAAAATACCTAATCAAAATAGCATCGAGTATAATTGTGCGATCTATGATCTAGAGTCGTGACTGTAGAATAAGTATAGACTACACATTCCAATTAAGTTGTTACTATCTGCAGTTTAAAAAGAGTGAAACAGTTTGAAGCATATTATTATTCTCTCTCTCTTTCTCTCTCAAATATTAGCAGTGAGGATTATGGTACATAAAGTTAAATTGCTTTTCTTATGGCCTCTATTTCCCATCCAAAATGGTTTAAAAAGAGATACGTTTCAACATTGTATTTTCTTTCTAAAGGATCTCGATGCTAAGATCAATTAAAATAGGGAATGCACAGTATATATCTACCTATTACGTCTGTGATCGCAACAACGATTATTACCTTTAGACTATAATATTGGAAATCGATTTTCGAAAAAGGAAAAATAATGAAAATTTTCGGCATAATTTATGTCACACACACCCACCCACCCA